GTGTGTGTGTGTGTGTGTGTGTGTGTGTGTGTGTGTGTGTGTGTGTGTGTGTGTGTGTGTGTGTGTGTGTGTGTGTGTGTGTGTACATTTAAGAATGTTCCTGGACGGGTGTGTACATTTGTGAGAATGCCCCTGGATGACGTGTGCTTGCTCGGCTGCGCGCTCCTTGATGCGCTGCGTGTTGGGCTGCAGGTGCTGCACATGCCTTCAGCGCAGGCCAGACATCCCCTCTGCCTGCCCACATGATTTCCCCCTGCTTTGCCATTCCCACCTTTTACCAGGGCCGGTACGCGCTGCTGGCGATGGTGGTTCCGCACATGGGCTGGGACAAGCTGCTTGCGATTGCGCCGCGGCTGAAACACGAGCTGCTCCTCTGCTGCGGAATCAACACGCTCATCAAGCCCGCACTCACCGTCTACGTCGCCTGCCTCAAGGTGCACTACCAAGCAAGCACCCCACTCCCTCTGCCTCGCTGCCTATCAGCTGTCTTTGGGCTCAATTGCCACGACACCCACAACCGAACATGCCGATGCACCCTCACTACTTGCACCCACTTTGCAATTCTCGCACACACACTCACACACACACACACTCACACACACACACACTCACACACTCACACACACTCACACACACTCTCTCTCTCACTCACACACACACACAAACTCCTACACACACACACACACTCTCTCTCTCACACACACAAACTCCTACACACGCACATGTGCGCGCACAGGACCTTCGCCAGCGCGAAGTGGACCGTGCAGAGAGCGGTGGCAGCAAGAGTGACACGCCGAAGCAAACAAAGAAGAAGAAAAAGAAGAGCAAGAAAGACAAGGGGGGCGTCGACCACAGCATACTTGAAGACCGCATTGCATCCCGATGGCACGCTGCCTGGTCGGATCTCTTGCTTGACGTGCTGGCGAGTGACGCGCCTGGCACAAGCGATGCCCTCAGTGCAACGTGGCTGGTCAAGACAACCAAGGTCGTGCCCCGTGCCGTGCACATCCTCATTGCCGGTGTCTCCGCTGCACTTGACAGCGCAACAGGCGACGGCGCCGCGCGCTTGCAGCTCCTGCGCAGGTACGCACTGCTGCTCTCCAATGCCAAGAAATCCGGTTTCATCACCTCACACGACCTCGAGGCCTTGCGCGACAACAAAGGCCGCAACGACAACGAGGCCAGTGCCGACAAGACTTGTCCCACGACTGAAACAAGAGCTGCCCCGAAAGGCACGCCATCGCACACGACAGCAGCCAACAGCAGCGTCAGCGCAACTGCTCTCCACCTGTCGCTGTCGCACATCCGCGAGGCGCTCACGTGCAGCATGCCCACTGTGCGGCTGGACACGCTGCGGTTCGTCTGTGTGAATGTGCAGACATCTGGCGAGCCGGCGGAGGCGGAGCTGTCTCTCTTCCGCGCGTTTCTCCCACACAACCTGGCCAATACCACGAGCGCACTACGCCAGCGCCTGTTTGCGGACGTGTCTGCCATGCTGCAGCGGCTCAGGGATTCGTGGGTGGCAGCCAACACCGTAAGCACCAAACTCGACGAAAAAGTGCAGAAGCAGCTGGAAAGCAGCAAGACTCCGCAGCCAACCCCGAAGGATGACGACGACGACGATGATGAGGAGGATGGTGATGGCCGCGTGGGTCGCAGCGGTGACGATGATGGTGATGGCATGGGTGGGCTTGAGCCAGCGGTGATGCGTGCGCTCGATGAAGCGTTTGCGACAATTGTTCGGCGTGAGGACAAGCTTGTCAGCACGTGCTTGTGGATGATCGATCTGTGCGACGCAAACCTGTTTCCTGGCTCATGCTATCAGCGCCGCTGCTCTGCTCTGCAGCTTCTCACGTGTCTTGTGGATGTGGTCGGTGGCATCGATTGGAGCGTGTGCCCGCCGCCCATTGTGACCGCGCTTGAGAACCTCCTCCCTTCTCTCGTTCACGGTCTTCAGGATAACTTTGACGACACGCGCAACGCCACGTGCAACCTCCTTGTGCAGATTCACGGCCTCGCGTCCGCCTCTGAGCAACCCGAAGCAGCAGGAGCAGCAGCGCCTGTTGTCAAGCGCCTGTGGAGCCGATTCATGGGGATGATCGACAATGCCAAGGCCATGATTGCAGAGACGGCGGCCGCGTACGCACGCGCTTTTGTGCTCGTCGCCTTCAGCAACACCACGCAACTACAGCAGCAAAAACAGCGCCCAGCGGAAGAGGAGGCAGCCGTGAACGCTGGCAGCGATGAAGGCGTACCTGAGCCACCTGCGTCGCCAAAGGCATTTGTGCAGTTCTTGTTGGCAAGAGCTGAGCAGCAGTTGCAGTTTGCTCGCACGCACACGCTGCAGGCTGCCAAGACCAAGCCCATGCACGGCACCCTGCAGGCCTTGCACCTTGTCCTCGACGCCGTGGCACCACACATGACTGTAGAATGGGAGGGCCTGTTGAGTCGTGTGGTTGATGTGAGCACGCAGGCGGCGGAGTTCTGCTTGTCTCTGCTAACCACAGGTGTCAGCGATGACACGCGTGCGATGCCGTCGTTTCAGGACATGGGCACGTCCCTGACGCAGATTGTGAGGGACCAGGGTGGTGATGTGCAACGCGACTTCCCCTTTATGCTGTCGTTCATGTGGCTCAACATCCGCACAGCCTGTCGCTCGCTGGCTTCTGTCGCCGTCATCGCTGCACGCGCGCCACCCAAGGCAGCCGGAAGTGCAGTGGACGCAGCCGCCATCACCGCCATCAAGGAGAAAATGTGCCTCGTGCTGAAACGCTGCCGCCACCGCGGTGTGATTGAGTCAACGGCGCTGTCCCTGACAACGGTTGCACAGCACCTGATGCAGTCTAAACGCGCCGACCTGCGGCCTCTGCCACAACAGTGGCTGGCAGCCGAGATTGCTTTGCTTGAGACGGACAGCGAGCTGGAGACATTGTCCGTAACGCGCCGGAGTGCTGGGTTGCCGCACGTTGTGCACTCGCTTGCGCTTGCCAGGAAAAAAGGGTCGCGGATGCTCCATCCGCATTTGGAAAAGTTGATTGCTCTCGCGGGCGTGCAGCCATCATCTGATACACACGCCTCTTCCGCAGAAACACAGGACATGCGGCAGGTATGTGTGTGTGTGCGTGTGTGTGTGCGTGTGTGTGTGACGTGCGAGGCGATGTCTTGCAAGTTTGTCTGAACTATAATACGGTAGCCCTTTGAAGACACACACTCACACACTCACACACACACACACTCTCTCTCTCTTTCTCCCTCTCTCACACAAACCCTACACACATAAACACGATTACAGGTGCACTGCTTCAATGTGCTCAAGGTCCTGTTTGCGGAGAGCTTGCTAAACTCGGACACACAGCAGTACGTGTCTCCTGCGATGGTGTTGGCCATTCGTGGGTTCTCGTCTCCCGTGTGGTCGATTCGCAACGCATCGCTGCAGCTGTTTGGCATCTTGCTGCCACGCGTGCTTGGCGGCGTGCGGCTTGAGACAGAGAACCGTGCCATCAGCATCACGACGCAGGATTTCATTGCACGGTGCGTGGGATCACACTGCATGCTGCTCATGTGCCAGCTGCTGCTGTCTCCGTGTGAAATTCCCACTGCTCTCACCCACCCACACTCTCCCCATGACTTTTCCATCCTCATTCACACACACACACACACACACACACACACACACACACACACACACACACACACACACACACACACACACACACACACACAAACACACACACACACGCACACACACACCAGGTATGGTGACGTCTGGGTGTTGCTGTTGCAGGAGCTGACAACGAGTACAGAACAAAGCGCAGCCAACATCCAAACACACTTGTTTGCCGTGATGACGCTGCTATCGAAACTGCGCACCGTCTCCGAAGCGCTCACCGCAACGGCTGCACAACAGCTGCAGGCGCTGTTGGCTGCGCTCATGAAGCTGACAGCCTCGCCCATCCTCGCAGTGCGCTGCTCTGCTGCCCGCGCCCTCGCAGGCCTGCTGCCCCCAGAGGACAAGCACCGAACAAGCGTGAAATGGGCGCGCGACGTGTTTTCCTTCTCGCACAACTGCGATGCGCCAAGTACGAGCCGAAACCACAACCGTCGTCACGGCCTTGCGCTCTCGCTCGCGGAGCTGTTGCGAGATGAACTCGCCAGCACGAGTGAGCTCATCGACCATGTTGCCGTTGTTGCCGCCATCGAAACACAGCAAGTTGACTGGCAGCAGTTTGTGCAGGCGACGTCACCCTTTGCGTTGGCAACACACCTTGACGTGCTCGGCGTGCTGTGGCAACTGTGCTGCGAGCGTGCCACAGCGTCCCCGCCAGCAGCAGACACGCCAGCAGCGGAAGCTGAGGCCGCCGTGAGGAGACATCTGCAGAATTTGGCAACAGCCACGCTCGTGTTAACGTCGCGTGTGCGCAGCGTGTGCGGCGCAGACAAGGCCCTCTTCACTGCCGGCACGTGGCTGGCGCTCTTGCTTGCACACGCGAGCAGCCAAGACAATGGCGATGCTGACAACAACAGCAGCAACAACAACAGCGCAGCGGCGCTGGCGCATGCCCTGCCGGCTTTGGAGAGCTACGATGCCCATTTGGCGCTGTTGCGTTCCGTTTGCCGGCGACGTACGCACGCTTCGAGCGGCGCAGCACATGCGGAAACAGTGGGTGAGGACAGCAGCAATGCCGCAGGTGATGATGGCGCCGATGGTGATGTGGGCGGCGATACACAACAGGATGTACATGCGGGCAATGATGGCGTGTGGATGGCGCTGGTGTGCAGGGGCCTGTCGTGCGTGGTTTCCTCACCCGCGTTCTCGCACCACGAGAAGCAGCAGCTTCTTCTGGAGTACGCCCCGCTGCTGGAACGGCTGCTGCAAGCAAAGGCAAACGAAGAGGCACTTGCTGACTTGGTGTGCACAGTGACAGTTGCGCAGGCACACATTCGCGACGAGTGTGCACGAAACGCTTCGCTGCAAGAAGCGTGGCTGGTTGTGTCTGGCCTGACACTGGCAACCGCGCCGGGCAGCGTGGACGTGGGCGCGTGGTTGGCGGCCGTGTTGGGGGTGTCAACTGCAGCGGCGCCTGCAACGGCACAGCTGGCTGCGTTGCGATCACTGCATCACGCTCGGTTTGCTCTCGCGTCGTTGCATCCGCAGGAGCAAGCGCAGGCCCTGCAGGCAGTCGCATTCCACCTCCTTGCTGAAGATGAGCGGCATCGCGAGATGGCATCGGCCGCCGCAACGCCACTCCTCCTTGCATCACGCGCAGCGACTTTGTCATCCACGAGGATGACGGTGGCCACACCTGCAAATGAGCACGCGGCCCTGCACGCTTGTTTCAAGGCCATGGTGGGCATTTGCCTGGCCAATCCAGAAACGTGCGGACGCTCGTTTGTCAACTACCTGTGGAGTATCCTTTTCACTCCATCCACGCCCAAAGCTGTAAGAATCTTGACGACTGAAGGCAGATTGTCGTGGCTTTCTTCCCTACTACTTTTTGTTTTCTCTGTGGCTGTGAACGGGCGTTCATCACCACCATGCCACCTTCACCTCATGTTACAGCCTGCCTGTCGCAGTCGCATTCACCCAGCACACACACGCGCTCATGACGCGCTCACTCACTCACTCACTCACTCACTCACTCACTCACTCACTCACTCACTCACTCACTCACTCACTCACTCACTCACTCACTCACTCACTCACTCACTTACTTACACTCACACGTGTAGGAGGGTGCAGCCACGACAACTGTGCTGTTCGCCGCGGAGGATCTGAACCCATACGCCGAACAAGTACACATGGTGCAGCTTGCCATGCAGTCACTCCTGGCGCTGTGCCACCCAGGCATCAACAACAGCAACCTTGAACGGCTGGCTTCGTTCTCAACAAACTGGAAGGACGCCGCCGTCAACGGGCAGCTTGCACGCATTTTGCAGGAGGTGATCGTCGACAACACACCGGCTGTGGCGGCGCACCTGAAACTCCTCCTCCTCAACACCCCGCCAGGTGTGTGTGTGTGTGTGTGTGTGTGTGTGTGTGTGTGTGTGTGTGTGTGTGTGTGTGTGGTTGTACACCGCTCCTATTGTGACTCAATCGCACACGATTATCATGTTCTTTGTTCAACACACGAGCATTCTACATACAGTCAAGTCCATGCAAACGCTCTCATACCCTAACACTATCACTCACTCACTCACTCACTCGCTCACGTTCGCACGACACAAATATACGCACATACGCATACATACGCACACAAATATGCACTTCCACACTGGCCCAGGCGCACAGGATGATAACCTGGATGGCAAGGCGGTGGTGGCGCTGTATCGCGCATTCTCCGCGTTTGCCGCATGTGTGTATGTGAGCCACGTCCTTGCACCAGCGCTGGACGAGCCGCTTGACTGGATGGATCCAACCATCCTCGACATGTTCCCTGGTCTCCTGGACGTGTGCCTGGCGTGGCAGGGGCGGTCGGACCTGCACCACATCCGCATGCTGCGCAGCGCTGCGTTTGTCCTCAACAGGGCCGTGTTTGCCCGCCACCGGCCCAATCCCACTGCAGAGACACGGGGCGCGACGCTGCTGCTCACCCTGGGCGTCCTGGCCATGGTCACAGCACACAGTACAGCAACAGATGTCGCCAGCAGTCTGGATGACTTTGTGCTCCCACCACCCGGAGAATCCGTCATGCTCAACACGGGTGGGGCAAGCGCTCTTGCGGATTCTGACCAACAGGGGCAGCTGTCAGCAGAGGGTGCTGCTGGTGAGATGGTGGACATTGGTGGAAGTGGTGAAGATGAAAAAGCCGAATTGGATGTGTTCAGCGTCACCAGCGCTTGCGATGACATGCAATTGGCACTCTTGCCCTTGACTTTGTGATCTTGCTGTGTGGCTTTTTGATGTCCAATTTTGGTGTTGTACGCATGTTCACTTGTGCTTTGTTGGAGATCGGTTCTTTCTTTCGCGTGCGTGGAACATAAAACGCTCGCTGTTGCATTGAAGCACAACTGAAAAACGCAGCCATGTCACCATGAGTGGACAGAGAAGGGAACGTGCAATGGCATCGCAACATGCCGCACACAACGCCAAGTCACACAATGCGGGTGCACTGAGTAACATGGCGCTTCCCGAGCCTCGCACATTGCTTCCTGGCGACGTACGGCCAGGCACCGGTCGTCGTCACGCCGGGTGGCGACACCCTCCACATGCGCGATGGCATCGCGCAGGGCGGTCCGCTCTCACCGGCGTATTTTGCCCTTGCCACGATCCACGCGCTGAAGGAAACCGACAAGGCCCACCCCACGGTCACCGTCGTCGCGTACCTTGATGACACCTACATCGTTGGCCCGCGCGATGACGTCAAGGCGGCCGCGGAGCGGCTCGACACGGAGATCCGCCGGACGGGGCTGAAGATCAATGAAGACAAGACGGTCGTCATCCCCTACGGCGACCAGACCGCGAAAGTGCTGGGCGTCCCCCTCTTCGGGCCATACGAGGCATCCCACCTCGACGAGACACGGAGGGCTCTCGACCTGGCGAGCGCCCACTTGCCGGCGCAACTGGTCTTCCAGTTCCTTCGGTACTGCATCACGACCAAGTCCGGCTACTTCATGCGCACGACCCGTCGGTCGAAGGAGTACTGCGAAGCGCTCGACGACATTATCGCGGAGCAGCTTCGGCGCATGATGGGCGCCTTCAAGCCCCTGTCATCGCGGGCCCTGACGCGGGCACGACGACCCATCAAACAAGGAGGCCTTGGGCTACGGAGGCAGACAAGCGTCGCCCCCGCCGCCTTCCTCGGCTCCGTCTGCAGCTTCAGCAAGAGCCCTCACCACCCTTTCCAAGCATACACCACGCCGGGCGCCGAATTGGAGGCGGAGATAGCGCAAGCCATCGCGGATCTGCACCTCGGCGACGACGGCCCCCGTGACACGAGGGACGTTCTAAACCACGACGCTCGCAGCTTGCAGCAGTTCCTGACCCAGATCATGGACAGGAAGACGGGCTGGGACGAGAACCCACGCAACCGAGCCATTCAACGAGGAGCCAGCCTGCACGGCGGCTACGAGTGGCTCCTAGCCTTGCCCAGCTGCAAGGACCTGCGGATGTCGGACAAGGTGTTTCGGTTTGCTCTTAGCCAGCGGATTCGGACACCTTGCTCCGAGTCGCGTGCATCAGGCAGCTGCTACTGCTGCGGGCGCGAGATGAAGCTGGACCACGCCGAAGTCTGCGACTCCACGAAGACGGGCCGGCACGACTACATGCAGAACGCCATCGCCCGGGCCTTCATGCAGCTCAACCGCCGCGCGACACAAGAGCCCTCCGGCTTCCCAGGCGCAGGCGGCAAGCGCGGTGACATCCTCAGCTTCGACAAGTCTGGCGATTACACCGTGTTTGACCTCGTGTTTGCCGCCCCCGCGGCCAGCTCATACCAACCACAGGCCGCCAAAGTCAACCTCTACGCGGCGTCGCAGGCGGAACAACGCAAGATCAAGAAGTACCAGGCCATCCTACGCGACCAGGGCGACTTCAAATTTGTGCCGATTGCGATCGAGGCCGGCTCGGGCGCCTGGGGCTCGAAGTTCCGGAAGTTCTTCAGCAGCGACCTTATGTCCACGACGGACCCACAAACACCACCACACGTGCGCACTTTTACCTCCATGCACAGCAGCACGTACTGGCGGCAAGTGTTGTCCATCGCGAGATGCAAGGCTGAGTGCTACGCGAACCTCCGGTGCATCGGCCAGATGCCTCACGACAAGCGGGGCAAAAACCAGCCGGGCTCGGTCCGGGCGGGAGACACACACACTCCCCGCCAGAGCACCCAGACGGTACAACGAGCGCGCGCTCAAGCCCAGCGCAACCACCAACAGGGCAAGCGCACCCGCAAGCGCAAGCGTCCGCAGACCACACCCCCCGGCCACAGCGGCCAGCGCAGCAATGACAGCAACAACGGCACTGCTGCCACCGCCGCTGCCACCGCCACCACCGACAACGATGAGGGACAGCCACGCAGCGCCCCAGTGACCTCACGAAGCCCCGGTGGCCCGGCCGCAACAGAGCCCCCTGCAACTGTCTAAGCGACAGTCGCAGCACTACACATGAGCCTCGCACCGAGGCACTTGGTTTCTATCTATCTATTGATTCACTTTTCTTTCTGTCTATGAGGCGCGTGCTCTCACACACATTCACCCATGCGCACCGTTGCCCTTTGTTTTGCCGCAATTGCCTTCCCCATCTTTGAGCGCCTGGAGCAGTGTAAGATTTCAGCGAGTTTTCCCCAATAAACACTGGATAACAGAGACAACACAACACACACACACACTCAAGACGCGTGATTGCAATGTAAGAATAGAGGGGTGGGGGGATAACAGAAGAGCACCAGTGGAGGAACGAGGAGGCAGGGTGGCTCATGTGGTTCCTGGAGGTGTTCGTGAGCTTTGGGACGAATCATCATTTGTCGCTGCCGGTCATCCACGCCATGATTGAAGAGGGCTGCAGTGCGGTGTGCTCATCATCCCCGTTGTCATCATCATCATCATCATCGTCATCATCGACAGCCGTAATGGCGTCAATGTCACCAGCATCATCGTCGTTGCTGCTGCCGCCATCATCATCGTGCGAGTGCGAGCTGTCAACGCTCAGGTCGTTCGGAGCAGCGTTTGGGTTGTTGAACATGTGATGCGAGTCAGACAGCGTTGTTGTGGTCGTGTTCAGCGTGTTGGCACGGCTATCATCCGCAGTTCCCAGGCGTGATTCCATGACGTCCAAGTACCCTTCGACCGCCTCAGCACCAGACAGCTCCTGAAGAGGCGTGGGCTTTCCGAGCGTGCCCAGCTTTGTGGAGAACCCTGCTGGGTTTGAGGACTGCGAAATGGGCCGACAGCACAACGCAGAAAGGCGGCAGAAAAGAAATGCATGAGAAGGTGCGGTACAGCTCGATGCAATGGCGGCCTGCAATAGAACTCAAGGCAAATTCCACATCACACAAACACACATGCACATGCACAAACACATGCGCCAGTAGCAGACAGCGTACATGGTGGGACTGCATTGTGTCGCTGGCAGCGGCGCCGGCGGAGTAAGGCTTGTGGCTACGGGAGCGCATGTGTGCAATGGCATCGCGCTTGGACTTTCCTGTCACCGCATCTCGCACGCTTGCATTCCACACGCAGTGGAAGATGAAGATGAACAAGCCCTGTTGCGTTTGTGTGTGTGTGAATTTGTGTGTGTGAATTTGTGTGTGTGTGTGAGTGTGTTTGTGTTGTGGCATAGAGACCAGAGACAAGAGAGTTGAGCAGACGATCCAGGAATTATGCAGGCAAGCAATGAGCCACATGAACAACAAGCGCAGACATCACCATCACGTGGATTATTGCTGCACAACACGCATGAACACAAAACACATCTTGGAGTACCCACGTGCTTCTCACAAAACCAACACACACACATGCACACACACGTGCACACACACACACACATGCACACACACGTGCACACACACACATATACACACCTGGAAGACGTTGAAGATGGTAAACAGGTACTGGACGGCAACGGCACCAGAAAACAAAAGCGCCCCAAACACCCACGTCACGCCCATGATGGACAGGAACGACGCACTCGCTCGCACGCTGCAGCAAAACAGCAGGCATGCACAGACACATGCCAGTGTCACATACACAAGCATCGTTGCATCACCTCACACAATGTCACACAACGCAGACACACGCACGCATACACGCACCAAGCATACACAAACATGGACAAGGTACACAAGCAACACACACGCATACATACACACAAGCACACACACACACAAGCACACACACACAAGCACACACACACACCCGCGGATGAAACGCTGCCGTGTCGCCTTGTCGGCATTAGCCACGCTCACGCTCAGGATCGAGCGCATGATGCGAACGAAAAACACAATGTTCACAAGGATGGCCAAGCACATTGGACCAAGGAACGCCCAAATCTCATAGTTCTTCGTTGGCAGCCAGCACGCATCCTCATACCCGTACCTAACATATGTGTGAGGTGTGTGTGTGTGTGTGTTCGTACGGGATGTGTGAGGTGTTGTGGGGTGCAACATGCACCGTCTGTGCAGCATGGCGACGGAACAACCAAACGCAAAGAACAACACACATAACCACGCAAACACAAAACTGCAATCAAGCAATCACAGCCACACAGAAGCACACACACGCGCACGCGCACACACAACATCACAGGTACACACGCGCGCGCGCACAGAGCACACCACACGCAGCAGCAACTCACCCTTCCTCGCCAATCACAAGGCCCGTCGCAAGCACAATCAGCGCCGGCACGCCATACGCAAACGCCGCAAACCGAACGTGCTGCCGCCGGTCAGACCGGTGGCTCCCGTGAAACACAACAACAAACGTCGAGTACAGGTGATACCCCTCAACCACCATCCACGCAAACGCGCTCAGCAGAAAGTAGTGCAGCACAATCGCAATCGCCGTGCACGTGTCCGTGTGGCTCGTCTCCTCAATGCCAAAGGCAAAGCACAACAGCGATATCGTCAGCGTCACACACAGGTGCATCACAATGATGCGCCCAAGGTCCTCCCGCAGCCGCTTGTACCACAGGTACACGCCAACCGTCAGCACCATGCAGAACACAGACACCCCAACGCCAATGTACGTGATGTAGCTGAGGATAACAGCGTTCACAGACGGGGACACAGACTCTGCATAATTGGCGAGGATGGCAAAGTTGGTGAGGTGGTTGCAGCTGCACGTGACATAGTCGCCAACGTCAGACACAAGCTCACACCCCATGTTTGACCAGCGACCAGCAGCGTCCACAGTCGGCGCCACCCAGAAAGAGCACGCGCGCGAATCAAGCGTGCGATTGCCAAAGTAGCTCGTCGGCAAGCTAAAGACCGCCTGTTCAGCAGCAGATACAAAACACAGTGAATCGGTGAAGGTGATAGTACCATGATCAAGAACAACGCCCATGCAGGCAGGTGGCCGGCTGATCATGCGCTTACAGAGCAAGACACGGTGCAACCCAAGATGGAACCATACGTGCAAGCAAGACACGCGACACACCTCGCCCTCGAATGCGGCGCCACGAAGTCGGCGCGTTTGCAGAGACAGGACAGGGGAGTTGACGAACGTCCGGTTGATCAGGTCGCGTGGAAGCGTGGTCCCGTTGGACACCGGGTTGAGTGTGTCGATGCCCGCAAACAGGCGTGAATCGCGAAAGAATGTCACCGCGATGCTTTCTACGCTGTCGGATGAGATGCTGTAGTTGACGGGTGTGTCGATGAGCAGTGGGGCAATGGCGTCGTTGCTTGCTTCCTCCACTTTACACCTGGAACAGCTTGAGTTGACCTCGTTGGCGCTGCCCTTGAACGCCGCGCGTGTAGTGATAAAACGGTATGCCACCACTACAATGTTGCGTTCCACTTGCACAGACGCACTGTCCCCAGGAAGAACGTCGACAAGCCCGTCCGTCCATCGCTCCACAATCGTTGGAATAGTATTCACTTGAACACCGTCGTTGCGTGCGGACTGCTCCAGCACAGAGCCGTCAACGGCCATCAGGTCGCTCGCGCCACGCACAATGTACCGGTATGTTTCTTCTTCAAGCATGTCCATATCCGTATCCAGCAGGCCCGTGGCATTGTTGAGGATGCTGAATGAGTTACCAACATCCTCGGGCGCAAACAGCGCTGAGGTTTTGGTGATGTTGGTGAGCTCCTCCAGTACGGAGTTGACGGTGTCAGTGGAGATGGTGCGGGTCGTCAGATCACGCAGTTTCTGGTTCACGCACTCCGTCGTGTTAACAAACGAGGAAAAGATGTCCTGCGGGCGGGTGAATAACGTTGGGGGGGGGGAGGGGGTAACGCATAGACGTGAGTAAATATAAGGCGTCAGCAGAAATGAGAGTGCCTGTCTCTGTGCGTCGATGTTGGCACATGACGTGATGGTGCAAGCGGTGTGTGTGTGTGTGTGTGTGTGTGTGTGTGTGTGTGCATGTGTGTGTGTGTGCATGCGTGTGCGTCCATGCGTGTGCGTCCATGCGTGCGCGTGCATGCGTGTGTGTGTGTGTGTGTGTGTGTGTGTGT